ATGAGCTGTTATGGAATAAACAACAACAAGCTTTAGTGGTGTAAAACCACACCCATTTTATTAAACTCAGTTTGGTGGAGTCAAGGATGTGGGTAGGGCTCAAGCAGGGAGGAGTCCTTTTGATTTACAGTGACAGGATGGTTTGAAGGCTGGTGATTGCCAGATGGCTTCCCACATTCTTTATGTATCTATCTGAAATGTTTGTGGTGAGTGACCATGCTGGCTCAGTAATAAACAGACCCTTTCTTTAATTCACTGTTGACACTATCTTCAAGTTCTAAATAATATTCAACCAGGGACACATTTTAATTTACTACTAGACCTGAAAGTTATGTACTGAAGTCCTCAGTTCTGGGTGTCAGCTGGGTTATTCAGTTCTCCTTCACTTCACATCTGCTTAGCCATCAGAGATGGCTTTACCCACATGGCCAGGTGCCTGGGTTGGGATGGCTGGAAAAGTTGTTGATAGCCAAACTGTCTGTCTCCCTCCCTCTCCATGGCATCTCCACATGGCTAGCTTTAGCTTCCTTACAACTTCACATTTGTGGAACCGTCAGATGTTGCCCATAGAATAAGTTGTCTAAGAATTTGGGATAGGGGTTCAAAGAATCTTTTGGTACAGCCTGAAAAATCACATGTCACTTCTACCACATTTCACTGGTCAAGAAGGCCACTATGAGCAACCCAAGTTAAACTTGGAGAAGAAAATCATTTGACTCATTGACTGCTTATTCTACCACAAACAGCCATCTACCATATTAATTTAAGGGGAGATGTTCATTTGACATAGAAGAAAGGCAAAGAAATAGACTAACATGGTACTTGGTTTTTAACATTCAAAATAGGTTTCTATAGCAAAGCACTATACTTGAAAGTCAGACCTTGATCCCTCTTTGAAGCTGTAAGGCGAGACCATAAATTATAGATTTTAAGGAATGAAGAGAAAAATCTTCCCTTCCTCTGTCTGTCCTTTAAGGATAGTGGCATGCAGGCAAGAAATAAATGAATGAAATGCCAGATTTTCTCACAATCTCCATCAAGGAGCTAAAAGTTACCATAGGTAAGTGAGGACAGTGCTGAAGGTGAGGAGGGTGCTTTTGCCCATGCCTCAGCCTTGACCTTCTCATCTGAAACTGTTTGAGAGGATCATCCAGAAGAGTCCCTGGTATCACGGCAGCATGATATGGTCAGGAAATGGGGTGGGAGGTTGGAAGTGGAAGGGCTGAGTTTGGCCACCTTTGGTTTACTATGTGGACTTTTATAATCTCTCTCTCTCTCTCTCTCTCTCTCTCTCTCTCTCTTTTAAGACAGGGTCTCACTGCATAGCCCTGGCAAGCCTGGAACTACCTAGAACTCACTATGTAGACCAGGCTAACCTCACACTCACAGAGATCTGTCTGCCTCTGCCTCTGCCTCTCCAGTGCTGGGATTAAAGGTATGTGCCACCACACCCAGTTTTTTTGTTTTTTTGTTTTTTTGGTTTTTTTGGTCTTTTTGAGACAGGGGCTCCCTGCAGCCCCAGTTGTCCTGGAACTCACTATGTAGACCAGGCTGGCCTTGAACTCACAGAGATCTGCCTGCCTCTGCCTCCTGAGTGCTGGGATTAAAGGCGTGTGCCACCGTGCCTGGCTTTTTTCTTCTTTAAAAAAAAATTATTATTATGGGGATGGAGAGATGGCTCAATAGTTAAGAGTACTTGCTGCCCTGGCAGAGGACCCAGGTTGAGTTCCCAGAACCCATATGAAGTGGTTCACAACTGACTGTATCTCCAGATTCAGGGAATCTGAAGCCCCCTGACTTCTGAAGGCACATGCATGCATGTAATACATGTAAACTAATTCAGGCACACACTCATTGTAGTGGTTGAATGAAAATGTCCCCCAATGTTGTGAGGTGCTTCACCAGAGAAGACCACTCAATGTTTTGCTGAATGAAAGTATTTGCTAGCCAGTGACTACACAATGGTGTTGGAACCCAAGTATGTAGCCCTGAGCCATCTCTAGGGTAAGCTTTTATACAGAGAAACCATAACCAGGGGTGAGAAGCTTAAGTTCCCAAGCTTACAGGTGAAAAGCCCGCTTAATAATTTCTGTTCTATTAAGCAATAATTACTATTTTACAGAAACAAGCCAAGCATAACCTACAGAAGCCATAAATCTGCAATTAGCAGGTACACTCTGTAGCACGCTGATTTGTTCCCAAGACAACTTGGGTCCTGCTGACATGTGTACCCAGACCCTTGCCAATTGCCTGATAATTTCAGAGACTAGAGCCAGCCTAAACTTTAACATGGTGTAGATATGGTCAAGAAGGTGCCACATCACACCCATAGGCTCCAAGCATTTCGACATTTTGTTCCCAGTTGGTAGTGCTGTTTTGGGAGGCTTTAGGATGTGTGGCCATGCTGAAGGAATCATGTTACTGGGGATGGACTTTGAGAGTTCTTAAGTCTTGTGGTATTTCCAGTTGCTCTCTGCTTCCTGTGGCTCTGGCCACCTCCTGTTGCCATGCCTACTCACCATGATGGGCTCTAATCTCTCTGGAACCTGGAACCATAAGATCAAATAAACTCTCCTATAAGTTCCCTTGGTCACAGTGTTTTATCACAGCAACAGAAAAGTAACTAATTTGCATATCTATAAATAAAAATAAATCTTTGAAAAATTAATGTATCTTTCCTTGACAATTGCATAATGTATACAATGTATTTTGACCATCTCACCCCCATATCATCTCTTATCCCTCTCTAACTCCTGCTGTAGCACATCTTCCCAACAAATCCTCTCATTTCCATACTTTTTTTGTTTGTTGCTTTTTTGTGACCCACCAAGTTTAATGTTGAATATTAATTGCTTTTCTGTTGCTGTGATAAAATATCCAGACAAAAGCAACTTAAGGGAGAAGGGGTTAGGACATCTTGGCTCACAATTCCAGCATCTAGTCATCATGGAAAGGAAGTCATGGGAGCAGGAGCCCGAGACAGCAGATTACATTGCGTCCACACTCAGGAAGCAGAGAACAGTGAAGGCTTGTGGTCAGCTCACTTTCTCTTTTTCACATAGTCCAGGATCCCAACCCAGGGAATGACACCACCCACAGTGAGCAGTCTTCCCACCTCCATTAACCTAGCCAAGATAATCCCCGCAGGCATACTCAGAGGTTCATCTCCCAGGTGAGATCTCACCAAGTTGACCATTAAGATTAACCAGTCTGGGTTGCTTTCGTGAGCGTGGGTGGAGGAGTTATTTACTTGAACACAAGCACTTTAACAGTGGTTGCACTCTACTGAAAAAAAAATGACTCCCCAGCCCCCCCAGCAACCATTAATTGCTAAAAGCTCCTCAGAAAGGGGTTGAAGGGGTGGAGCTTCATGAGCATCTCCCCCCATCTGTGGTAGAATGTTGACAGGCCCCATCTTGTGCAGGTCTTGTGATGGGTAACCACAGCTGCTGTGAGCTCATGAGTGCAGCAGCCATGTCACAACCAAAAGACAGCGTTTCACAACACTCCTCACCGTCCTCCAGCTCTTACATTCTTTCTGCCCTCAAGGACATGTTCTTTCTAACATGTTACAGTGTTCAATGAGTCATAGCATAAAATGCATACATCTGTGACATTTTTTATGTGTATGAGTTTTTTTGCTTACATGTATGTAAGTGCACCATGTGTGTGCAATGTCCACAGAGCCCAGAAGAGAGTGTCATAACCCCTGGAATGGGAGTTATGGATGGTTGTTACTTACCATATGGGTGCTGGGAACTGAACCTGCTGTTATTTTATGTCCTGTGCAAGAGCATTCAGTGTTCTTAACCCCTGAGCCATCTCTCCAGCTCCCACCCACGACATTTTAAGTAAAGAAGCGTATGGAATAGAAAGCTGACTGAGAGGCCAGGAATTTAACCAGGGCAGGCTCAACATGATTTGAAGGCACTAATTAAATTATTAAATTGGACCAAGGTGAACCATACCAAACAATTCTACTCAGACCAATATCTTGACTGTAAAATAAAAATAAAGCATATTGGAAGAAAGAAGAGAAGGGTGGTATAGATCATGTTCTTTAGACCTCTGAATTGTAGTGTGGTTTAAATTTATGATTTGGATACAGTGGATACCACACAAAACTACATAAAACTGCAAAGTGGGTTTTGAATTACATAGAGCTTCAAATATCAAATACAGGGAATGCCAAGGGGAAAGAAGAAAAAAGTGAACAAGTTCAACAAAAGGCTTAAATGCAGGAGAACCAGGGTTGAATAAGGGAATGTATCTCACTATAGTAAATGTTTTCCCCCATCAGCCTCCTGAGGAATTGTGGGTGAAGGAAAGAGAATTTGGACATCATTACCTTAAATACTACATTTAATCTTATAACAGAACTTCCAGATATTTTTTAGGAAAACAAAAGACGACTTGTTCATAACTCATTGCTGGGAACATTCTCAGTGTTAGACTGTGACATGAGACTGGATAACTAGCGGGTGAAAACTGACTTGATGATAATGGGTTGGACTGGGTATACAGTTCAGCAGTGGAGCACTTGCCTCACACGCTCATGACTCTGGGTTCAGTTCCCAGCACTGTGTACGAACAAAGCAAAACAAAAAACAATAGATCAGAGAAGAAGTGTCAAAAATGAATATGTAACTGTCATTAACATTAGGGTGAAAAAGAACAGGACAAAATCTAGGAAAGTTCGGGGAGAATTCCAGCATCTTCCAAACTGCGAATATGTTTATTCTTTGTGAAAGGAAGGACACATTCCTGAAAAAATTCTGGACTGTGTAGAGAAGGGGCCCCATGCTGGGGTCCATTTTCTCTCACCTGGGAATGTGGCTAGGAAAGGAGGTGTGGTCCTAAGAATCTCTGCAGGTTCCAGTGCTGTGGTGACACTTGATACACCTTGTTCAACTAGACAACTGTGCAGAAGGGTTTGTGATGTGTGGATTCTCGGATAAGAATAACATCTGAGTAGATGACTTTGCACCTTTTTTGTACCTTTTCTTTAAAAAAAATGTATTATTCCTCTTAGGCCGGGGGACATGGGGGCTGGTGAGCAATGGCTGCAAACAGCAACCTCCTTGATAGTAAATGCAACCTGTTACATGTATGGGTTTCCCTAAGGGATCTTGGAGACAATTTTTTTGATTGACATTCATGTCTCTGATCTCAATGCTGTCCTCAGTACAGGGTCCAGACAGGTATGTGGGGTGCCTTTGGGAAGCCCCAGGGCACAGTGTCCAGGGTTCACATTATATCCATCTGCATCAAGCTACAGAATAAGAAATGTGATTGAGGCCCTGCATAGAGTTAAGTTTAAATTCCCTGGCCACCAGAAGGTCCACATCTCAAAGAAGGGAGGCTCCACCAAATGTAATGCAAATAAATTTGAAGATGTGGTAGGTGCAAAGCGCCTCATTCTGATGGTTGCAGGCTTAAATACGTCCCCAGTCATGGTCCTCTGGACAAGTGCCAGGCCCTGCACTCCCAAGGGCTACACTCCACCAAATCAAGTTCAGTAATAAATTCTCTCATGCAGTCTGCCTAAAAATGTATTACATTTATTTATTTTGTGTGTACGTGGGGGTGGGATGAGAGGAGGTACCTGTGGAGGTCAGAGGACAGCTTGTGGGAATTGGTTCTCTCCTTCCATCACCTGTGTTCTGGGACTCAAACTCAGGTCATCAGGTTTGGCAGCAAGTGCTTTTTACCCTCTGAGCCATCTCCCCAGCTCCTCTCTTACCACTTCTTAAACATCAGTTTGTTATCTTTTCCCTTATACAATCATTTGTGCTTCATGTGACTCATGTCACCTTTTCATACAGGTAAATTTTTCAGGAAAAATCACTTTCCAGTTTGTGCAACTATTCTGAAACTGTTTTGTCAACATTAGGATAGAGAAGAGCAGCTTTTATCCAAATATTCTTTACAGGGAACTTAACATGTGGGACACTGTTCTGGGTGCTAGGGATCCTAACATCAAGAATCTTCCCCTTGGGAAGATTGCTGGGGAGATGGCTTAGTGGTTAAGAGCACTGGCTGCCCTTGCAGAGGACCCAGGTTCAATTCCTAGCACCCACATGGCTACCAAAAATTGTCCATAACTCCAGTTCCAGGGGACTCCAATGCCCTCTTCTGACCTCCGCGACATTGCATGACATAGGTGCACTCACATACGTGCAGGCAGTACACTCATACACATAAAATAAAAAGAATAAATAAAAAAGAAACATCAGCCCTCACTTCAGTGCTGCTCTGGCAGGATGTTCCTCTGTAGTCATTCCTTAGGAAATGTAGACTCATGTCCATTCCAACTCTGCTAGACAAAGATCAACTTCAACATAAAACTAGACTTATGAAGGCATTTGGGTAGTAAAATGGAATTACCATGCAATAAAAGGAAACCTGAAACTGACTACTAAATGTGGGTTATCCTGAATGACATGGACTGCTCTCCTTACCTGATCACCTTCTTGTAGTCCTCAACTTCCCACCATGTTTTAGGATCAAACTTCTCTTTTTGGTAGAGATGACAATAGCCATAAACATCGTCTCACCACCCCCCAGCCTTCCACTATGTAATAACAGAAGAAGTCAGCTGCCCTCATCGCCCAGTCAAAGCCATTCTCAGAAATATAATCTTCAGACACACAATTCCACCAAGGATGACCTTTCGATCAGTTCTGCATTGCCTTGACCCTCTTCACTTGCAAACCACATCTTAAAATTTTCCTTTCTGCAAGTTCAACTTTGACCTTTTAAACAATGTCAGATATACTGAGGCTTAATATAGATATAGTACATTCACCCTTTTAGTAACATGGTTCTATGGGTTGTAACATATAATCATGTTATCACCATCAGAATCAATATATAGACCCTTCAGTTTCCCAAGAAAATCCCTCCTGTTGTTTTGCAGTTGGCCTCTCCGTGTAACCTCAGTCTCGGGAAAACACTCATCTGTTTACTATGACAAAAATCAGGTCTATTTCAGATTATCATGGAAGTGGAATCATCAAACCTCTAATTTCTTTCACTCATTTGAGATTTGTCCACATTCTTGATGGTAACTGCAGGTTGTTCCTTTGTATTTTTTTTTAGTAATTTTCCATTTATGAATGCACCATTATAGTTGATTTGTTTATTCAGTGAAATAATATTTTGATTGCTACAAATAAGTCACTTTAATACTTGGATATAGATCTTTGTATAAACCTAAACTTCCATTTGTCTCAAATATTATCTATCAGTGGTATCACTGAATTGTATAAGCAGATACTTAACATTTTATGAAATACAAATTGTTTTCCAAAGTGAGTGTTCCATTTTACATTCCCATCAATAACATGTGAGAATTCTAACAGTTCTGTATCCTCACAGTTACTTTGTATTGACATATTGTGTGTGTGTGTGTGCGCGCACATGTGCACATGCATCTTATTCATTCTGATACATATTCAGAGAGATCTTAGTGTGGTTTATCTCATTTCAAGTGAAATGTCTTTTCAGCTCTTTTGCCCATTTACCATCCAAGTTGTTATTGTTGACTTCTGAGGAATTCTGTATAGCTTCCTGATCCGTTCCTTTATCTGATAAGAACTTTGGAAATATTTTTCTCCCAGTCTATGGTTTCATTCTCATAAGTAACGCTTTAGTCTTAACTGTGTTACAATTTGAGCATGACGTATCCAACAGACTCATGTGTCAGACACTTGATTCCCAGGTAGCAGGGTTACTTTGGGAGGTTCTGAAAAGTTCAGGAGGTGGAGCTTTGTTGAAAAACATAGAACAGTGGGTACGTGCATTTGAAAGCTTTGCCTGTTCCTCAGTCCCCTCGTTGCTCTCTGCTTCCTGGTTCTCTGCCATAAGAAGTTCCTCCATCATAGAGTCAGGCATGGAGGTATTTTATCCAAATGCATGAGACCAAGCAGACATGAAATTTGCTCTGAAATAATGAGCAAAAATAAATCTTTCCTTCCTTAAGTTGCTTCTGTTCTGTATTTTACGCACAATGACACAAAGTAACTCAATTATAAAAATGTCATATATGGCTTAAACACAGAAACACAAGATTTCTTTCTCACAGTTCTAGTGGCTAAAAAGATCAAGGTCCAGGAAGATTTGGTTCTGAGGGACGGCTTTCTTCATGGCTTGCAGATGACTGTCTCTCTTTGTGTCCAGAGCTCTGACCTTTTCCTGTAAAAGGACTAATCCTGTTATAAGGACCCCAGCCTTGTGACTCATCTAAACCTGATTACTTCCCAAAGGACTCATCTCCAAATGCTATCATATTGGGAGTAACTATTTCAGCATACGAATTTGAAGGGCCACAACACTCTCCATAGCAATTTATCTCAAAAAGAATGTTTTAAGTTGGATGAAATCCAAATTATTTGGGGGAGGGATGCTTTTAGATATAAAAAATCTATGCCTAACCTAATCCAACATTATAAAGATTTTTCTCTAGAAATCTTTATGCTTTGAGGTAACTTTACTTAGGTTTACAATCCATTTTCAGTTAATTGTTACAATGTGGTCCCAGGTTTGAATCAAGGCTCTTTATTTGGTGTGAATCCTCCAATATTTTTCTTTTTAAAAATCACTTAACTGCCAGGTGTGGTGGCGCATGCCTTTAATCCCAGCATTTGGGAGGCAGAGGCAGATGGATCTCTGTGAGTTCAAAGCCAGCCTGGTCTCCATAGTGAATCCAGGACAGCTGGGACTACAGGGAGACCCTGTCTCAAAAAAAGACCAAAAAAATCACTTAATTTTCCTAATCTGGGTGTTCATGTAAATTTTAGAATCTATTAATTTTACTAAGGAAAAAGTCTTCTGGTGTTTTTATGATTGCATTGAGCTTATATACACTGAGAAAAAATTGTCATATTAATTTGGTCTTCTGCATGATTACATTTTCTTCCTTTTACTTAAATTTTAAGATTTCATAAGATAAGGGACTGGAGAGATGGCTCCCTAGTTAAGAACACTGGCTGCTCTTTCAGAAGACCAGGGTTCAGTTCTCAGCACCCACATGGCAGCTAACAACCATCCATAACTCCACTTCCAAGGGATCCAAGGTTCCCTTCTGGCCTCTGCTGACAATGCATGCGTGGATGCACGTACATACATGAAGGCAAAACATTCATACCCATAAAAAAACAAATTTTAAAAATATTTCAGGGCTGGAGAGATGGCTCAGCAGTTACAAGCACTGGCTGGTCTTCCAGAAGATCTGGGTACAAATCCCAGCACTCACATGGAGGCTAACAACCGTCTGTAACTCCAGTTCCAGGGGATCCAATGCCTTCTTGTGTCCCCTGTGGGCACTGCATGACACTGGTGCACTTACACACATGCAGGTATAATGCTCATATACATAAAATAATAAATCAAAAGTTTTTTTTAATTTCATTAAGATAAACACATTTTGTCTAGGTTGTTTTGTTTTTCATGTGTTTATAAATGGTATTGACTTCAAAACCCAATCTCCAGTTACTTATTGCTAGAATATATAGAGAGAATTGATCAGATAGGTGATAGATGATAGATGATAGATAGATGATAGATAGATGAAAGATAGATGATAGGTAGATAGTAGATAGATGATTGATAGATAGATAGATAGATGATAGATATAAATATAGATAGATAGATAGATAGACAGACAGATAGATAGATAGATAGATAGATAGACAGATAGATGATAGATAGACAGATAGATAGATAGATAGATAGATAGATAGATAGATAGATAGATAGATACTGAAACCAAAGTGTTGCTAAAATTCCTTCTGGGAGGCACAAATGATGTCCGGCCCCCTCTTCCTTTGGTCCCTATGACAAACTGAGGTACAATTTTGCCAAACTTCAGGCTGGGAAACCAATTAATTTTTTTTCAGACTTACTTACAGAGCAGTGGGTGAGGTTCACAGGAGCGTGGGGGCTACCCTGAAAGGCTGCACTGGAAAGCCTCCATCCAGGCACAGCTTATGACTTCCCCTAAGCCATACAAAATGAGGAGTCTCCCTATGGTTTCCTCCACTTATGTACCCTTAGTCTCTCCCCCTTGTGACCAACTGATTGGTTGGAAGGTGTGGCTTACTCTCCCTGCCCCTCCTTTCTTTGTGGAGCATTAACTATCAACTGGGCAGTTATGATAATCCTAGGCAAGAGGGTGCAACCAAGCTTGGGAAGAAGATTGTCCATATCTTGAATGTGGGAGGACAGCCCTATGCAACACAAGGATCTTGCTAGACATACCTAATTGGCTTTGTATCTTTCTAATGGATTCCTTAGGATATAGAATATGCATATACTTAGAAATGTTTGTCAATATAAAACTAGTTCAGAACTAAAACTGTCTTTGAAAGCAAAACTAAAAGGTAGAGTGTTCTTGTTGCACTTTTAGTACTAATAATATTTAGCTTTTTAAACTGGTGTAAATGGGGCTGGAGAGATGGCTCAGCAGTTAAGAGCACTGACTGCTCTTGCGGAGGACCCAGGTTTGATTCCCAGCACCCACATGGCAGCTATGAATCGTCCCTAACTCCACTTCCAGGGGAATCTGAAGCCCTCCTCTGACCTCCGTGGCATTGCACAACATGGGTGCACTCACATACATGCAGGCAATACATTCATACACATAAAAGAAATAAATAAAATATTAAATTGGTGCAATTAGTATAAATTCGTATTTTTTCACTTTTATTTGTATTTCTTGTGTGAATGTTTTGTCTGCATGTTTTTAAGCATACCGTCTGCGTGCAAAGCTAGCCAAGGTCAAAAGAGGACACTGTATCCTCTGGAACTGGTGTTTAGCCACCATGTGGGTGCTGGGAACAGAACCTGGGTCCTCTGCAAGAGCAGCCACTGTTCTTACGGCTAAGCTATCTATCCAGCCCTTAACATTTTTTAAAATTATTATTTAATAACCACATAATTAGAAGAAGCACTTCATTACAACAGCATTGACATATTCAATAACAGTTTCCAGAGCTAAGATGCATCTCTTTCAAAATTGGCTATAAATATTTAGGTTTACAGTTGAATTGTTAGTTATACAATATTGTATTCAGTATAAACCCTATGACGTAAAATTAAATGAGGTTTTAACCTTTAAAAAAGATCTCCATTTCATTATTAAAATAGTTTCATACAGAAAAATTCATTTTTAATACAATTGACACTAAGATGTACAGGCGTTTCTGATAGGCTCTTTTTTAAATTTTTAATAACTACATGATTAGAAGAAGTATTTCACTACAGCTTTAACATATTCAGCAACACACTCCAGAGCAAGAGTACATCTCTTTCACGTGTGGCTGCAAGTTTCTAGGTTCACAGTTGAATTAATAGTCATACAATATTGAACTCAGTATAAGCCCTGTAAGACAAAATTGAATGAGTTTTTAACCTTTAAAAAAGATCTCCATTTCATTTCAGAATATACTGTTCCTTACAGATACTCATTGTTTTTAGAAAAAA